GCTGTCGTCCAATTCTCTCACTGCTTGACCGGCACACTGGAGTTTTCCTTGGCCACCCTTGCTCTGGTCAGGCTGTTCTCACATTTGAAACTCTCTTCTTTATGTTCTTCACTTAGATATTTACTTTCAATCTTTCAGGTTAAAGGCCCACATCTATTTTCTTCCCAGACCATTCTATCTAAAACAGCTGATCTGATAACCAGGGCTGTTGTCTTCCTTTGTAATATCAATTGAAACCTGAAATTATTTTTATTGCTTTAAATTGTTGAATTTGTCCCTATAAGCAAAACAAAAATAGCAATTTAAGCTATCATTTTTTTCTCTTCTCTAGCTTCAGAATCTAATAGAGTATCTGGGACAAAAGCTGTATCCAAAATACATTTGTCTAAAAAAAAAATCACATCTGATATCCCAAACAAGAATATTTTCTCTTTCATCAAGACTACAATAGATAATACCAAATAACTCAATTGTAATTCATGAATTTTAATTATTTTCATCCTTCGTGCTTATGTCTCCCTTGTGTATTGGTTTTCTCCAGTAATGAGTATTCTGTTATAAATATTAAATTTAAAGTATCTCTTATTAATGAAAATAAATGCCATTTTATCATTCTCTAAGCTATTGTTTATGTGTTTATCTTGTTATTACTAATAATGTTTTCTTAAATCCCTTATCTGATGTGGTATTGTATTTTCAGATTAATTTTCTTGTTTGTGAAATAGTCTCTGGTGAAAAAAATAAAAAATCTTGAAACTTGATATTAAATTCTACCTCAATAATTCTGGGAGTAAAAAAATGTGAGCTTGGGATTCAGTTTCTAGATCTGTTGAATTCGAGATTGCATTACAGGTCCCTAAAGGCCCTGAAAGCCAGACTGTTCTACAATGTTAAGGCAAAGCAGAAAACAAGAAACTTATTGACAAATAAGGGCTAAAACTGAGTAGTAGGTATCAGATGGATAATGAAATTGAAGTAGTTAGAAAGTCTAGCTATAATCTTAATACTTCTAAGTCATCTAATAATACCTTCTATTTTATCATCCTGGATTACATTGTGGTTTAGACTGTTGCATTCTCAAATGTTAAGGTGGGTCACCACTGTCAATTCAATAACAGTAATAACATTACCTAGTAACTTTCATCTTGGGCTCCCGAATCACTTTATAAGCGTCAATTAAATCTAAAATCTTCTCTATGCTAGTATTACTGGGCCCATTTAACAGATGGAAACCTGAGCCACATTCTTGTTGAATCCATAAAGGAAAGCTTTCTTATTTTAGATAAATACACTTCTCTTAGTTAATAGTACGCTAGCTGAGACCTAGAGTAGAATTTAATGAATAAGAGTTTCTGCATGTGCTGTTTTCATGCCTGTAAGTTTATGAAATCATGTGTGGCATCTGTGGAAATGTGTGGGTGTGATATGAGTGTGAGTGGGTATGATTATAAGTGTATATAGTCTGTGGGAAACACTGCAAGTGAGTATGTGCCTGAATAAACACAAATTTGCTTTGTGCTCCGTAGACGCTCAAGTTTTCTTTTTTCAGATTTAAAAATAAATTTTACTTCATTTAATGCTTTTGCACTTTGACATTTCCTTCACCATATTTTATGTTCTTTGCTGGTCACTTCCTATTCTTCAGAATGGCTTCGTTCTCTGTCAGTCTCAGGGTTCTAACTTCTAATATCTGAGCTCAGCCCGCACACTCCCTTTGACACTGTGCATTTTTTACTGTGGTGCCATGGACTTGTTCTGTGCTGATATTACTCACATTTGTTCTAAAAGATTGATACTCTGAGCTGTAAAACATTCAAGTCAACAACTTCTGACATTACCAGTCCTACGGATAATCCACTACTATTATGGACTACTGGACTATATTGGATTATTTTGCTGAATTCACGCACCTACTATATTTACATGGCAATGGAATACCCATCTCTGACAAAATTTTAAAAAGTGGATACAAATTAAAGATCATTTTGTATCTGTATATACAAAATAGGTTAGATATAGAGCTACTTTCTCTTAATTCAATGAGAAGAAAGATTTGCACTAATAGTGTTTGGGCAGGATATCATGTCTGCATCTTGTACTATGAATAACCACTACAAAGACAACAATATGTGGCATATTAATTATTGAAACTGTCTTATTAATCGGTTTTGAAACTGTCTCATTGCTATTTGTTTCTCAATAAAATTAATAAAAAATAAAATAAAATAAATAAAAGATTGACTGTCTTTCCTAAGTGTTTGCACCAACTGGTGAGTGTTTCTACGGGGGAGAGGAACATGGAGAGAGAGGCAGAGTGGGTGAGAGCCAGAGGAGGACAGACATTTCTAGGAGTCAGTGGAAATATGGGTGCGCATATTCAGATAACCCTTCACTAGCTTAATCTCACCACTTCGGAGAATACAAGTGTTATCTCATTCCCCTGCAACCTAAAGCTATTTTTCACTTTTACCATCTTAGAAGTTACTACTGCTCAGAAGAGTAACCTAAAATTCCAGGACTTAACCTCTATTATCCAGACTCCACACTTTCTACGCCAACTAAATGGTCCTACTAAGTAAGATTCTATGCCATTGTCTTCTAGCTTTTGATTCCTCTTAAAACCCTCCCGTCCCCCAGAATAAGCCATCATCCTCTCAACATAACATGACACAGAGCTTCTGATAAATTATCAAGTGAAATATGAGGGAATGCTTTAGAAAACATGAATGCAAGCATGTCTCTTCTGGAATAGTACCTTTCAATGATCCCATTACTATTAGAATCAAGTCCAAACCTCATAAGATTTTCAAGATTCTGCATGACCTATCTTCCATCCACTATAATTATTACTTGTTAGTTCTCTTTTTAATTTCTACCAAGCATAATTATATATGTATATCACCTGTTCCTTGAACTTGCATTTTTAAAAAAATTTCAAACTATTTTTTTCTATACACCTTTCCCATCTCTTTCTTGCCTCTCAGACAAAAAAAAAAAACTTTTCCTTCCAGAAAAGCTTCCTTTTCTGTGTATCACTTACTACAAAACAGCATCATTACCTTTGTTTGCCTGAATGATTTTTCCCCCTAGATTTTAAGTTTAGAAAAAAAAATTGATGCTTATTCTTGGGACACTGTGTCCTTAGTGCTGGTACTGTTCATGACATAAAATAGATACTCTGTAAATATTTATTGCATGGTTGACTAACTCAATGTGTGACCACACGGTGCTTGTCTAAGTCAGTGAGGTCACTGTTTTAGGTGAAGCTTGTGGGAAAAGGGAAGATCTGAAGAAAATGGGTCAGGCTCATGTTGCTCTAAATAAACTATGTTGTTCTAAATAATATAAGAGCACTTAGTCTAAACAGTGTATTTCTAGTAGAGAAATATTTATTATGCTCTTTAATCTCCTATGGCATACCTCATATAACTTGAAAAGAGGTTGATTTTGCGTGTGACTTGTGACAGTGATCTTGGACTTGGAGTCCTACTCATCAGTACACCCGTGCAGAAGGTGGTCCTGCCTTGCTCACATGCACTCCTCCATAGGCGTAAGACCCTTTGTCCTGTGGGACCACCTACAGGTGCAGGCCTAGAAACAACAACCCAAAGAACCTAAGGCATCATCTCCTGAAGTTGGAGCATGGCTGTTCCTCAGATGTGTGATACTGGCTGGATATCACTTAGGATGAGAACCAAGCATGGATGCGAGGGCTATAGCTCCCAACTTCGTGCCAAGGCAGCTAGCCTGGATGGGAAGAGAAAGAGAAAGGTAGCAATGAAGGAGTGATGCCAGAACTCAGTTGTGGACCTCCGAAGTGTCTGCACGTTCTGTTGTTTGGTTCTGGCTAAAGAGCTGTTTTCTTTTATCTTCCTACTTGTCAAGGTAGGAAGATAGATTTTACATAATAGTGTTTCAACTTGCTTTATAGCCTTTATCAAAATAGGTATTATATGGGTGTCCAATTACACTCACGGAAAGGCCTATAATTATTAGAGGCTCTGTCCTGCTACTAAGAAAAAGAAGCTATTTTTAGAAGATTTTTGCTCTTTTATAGGATGGTGTGACACTAATTTCTAAATAGTTGCTTAAGTTTTTGAGAACTGTTAGTAATATTTTATGCCAAGAGTGAAATATATTTTAGTTATAACCAAGGGGAAAGCATAGTTTTTCTCGTAACACCAAAAATGAGCATGGCATAGGTTATATCTTTCACCTGAATAAATGACAGTGAAAATATTTTGGGGAAGTTCCTATTCCTGACTTTACTGGTTGGAAAGAGATTGTAGATAAGTCATTTTGTTTTATTTTATATTTACTTACTTATTTATTTATTTATTTATTTATTTATTTTTGGCGGAGCTGGGGGTTGAACTCAGGCCCTTGCACTTGCCAGGCAAGCACTTACTCTACTGAGTTATCTCCCAGGCTTATTGTAGATTATTTAAGTCATATTCTATATTTTGTTTTATTCTATATTCCTCATTTATAGGATCATCATGTTATAGAACTTCCCATCATTGCAAAACTCTACACGCGAAACATTCTTCTGTGTCATTAAGTTTTGCAGGATACAAAGATATTACATATTTATTAGACAATATACATTTTTGAAATTTATTGGGCATCCCATAAGATTAAGAACTCTATAAATATAAACTTGTTTAGGCCTTGATAACACTTCAGTGAAAATATGGCTCTTATATCCATTCTACCGATGAGAAAACATGGACAAAAGGAGTAAGCAACTTTTTTAGTGTATACAGTTGTTACCGTATTTCTCATAAAGAGCAGAGCAAGAACTCGGACACCGCAGCATAACTCTAGGCACTATTTTTCTGCCAATAAAAGTGCTTCTACCGTAAGGACAGAGACTCTGGGGCTTCATTTAAAAATAAAGAATGAAAAAAAATGTGATTTTTAATCCACAAATATGTGATTTAATCAAGAAAGAGCACATGCTACTATACTGTTTTAATTCTTTCTTTTTTTTAAAAGAAATGTATTTTCCCTGAAAGTTTACAAGACAAACATTGAACTTGCCTGAGTTTGAAAAGGATGTTTCTTTTGTTCCACTTGAATGACTAATAAAGATTTAAGTCCTTTGGCAAAGTGACAGGGGGTGCTGCTTTTCATTTTTTAAGGGAAAACAGATGAGTTTCATTTCAAGGAGTTTATGACAATATAGAAACACTTAAATTATTTCTGTATTTTAAGTTACGATTACTTCCAAGACAGAATGCTTTTACTTATAAATAGCAGCAGCAACTATCAGACAGCAGAAGCTCACATCAGAAATGAAAATATACACACATAGTTCAATTTCCTTGGGAAAAAATGAATCTATTTAGCTGAAAGAAATAAACCTGAATGGACCAAGAAATATTGACATGTTTTATTTCAATAAGTGTGCTCATTTCTGTTAAAAATTGAGGTAGCCAAAATGTATCCTTAATAAGGCACTGTGAAGTGGGTTGTATTATTTAATTTATCTTTCTATATAATTACTTCACATTTTAATAAATATTTAAAATAACTTTTATGCAACTTTTGTATATAACTGATTCTAAAGGAATAATCTGTAAGTATATGTAACAGGCATTCATGTATTTGAATTTATAGAAAAATCCATTTCACATTGTATGACCTCGCTTTGCAACCCAATAGCTAAAGAAAGTATGTTATAAATCACCAGCACAATATAAATAGCATTTCATAATCTATAGATTAAGAAATTTTCTTGAATATTAAGATGGTTTCCATATTTTCTCTCAAGATAAACACAGAATAATATTATTTGGCCTAAATCAGTTCCTTTTTTATAAATTAGACTAGAAAATTGCATCCGCTCTATTTAGAAATAGCCACGAGAGAGATACTCTGATTATTGAGGTCAGTGCTGTGACTATGGCAGTGACTTAAAAAGCATTCTCATAGCTCAGGACTTTCTATGGAAAGTAATTAAACTTGGCCAAAATTAGGAAAAATTATAGATAAAGGATAAAACATCTTCTTTTCCAATAACAGTGCATAAAGATAAAATGAAAGTATAGTTTCTTTGAAAAGGATCTTTCACCAATATTAATACTATAGTTACGGTTCCTGCTCCATTAAAAAAATTAACTTTTAAGTGTTTTAGAAGTCGCATGCTTACTTCACCACCCTTCTGGGGGAAGAACAGGACACACACAAAACACACACACACACACACACACGCACACACACACACACACACACACACACACGGTGCTCCCTAAATATACAGAAAGAAATTTACTTAAGATTTATACTAGTTTTAATTTTAATTTGGGTACTAGATTTTTCTAAGAGAGTAAAAAATAGCATTGAAACAGAAAAATATTGCAAGTGATACAAGATTTCACTCAACAAAGTAATAGGAATTTTATAGTATTTGTTGTAATACAGTGTTGTCCTCCAACAAGTTAATCATATTACCAGATATACACATGTAAAATTGGAAGAAGAAAGAAGTGAAAAAGTACAAACAATTGAAAAAAAGGAGACAAAACAAATTAAGTATTATCTGTTCCTTTAAAAGGAAGCAGTTTAGACTACAAATGCATGCATTTGGGTCTCAGCAAAACATCTTGTGCTTGTATGCGAAAGAGCAGGAGGTCACCACCTTCCAGCTTGTTATCTAAAGCCATGAAAAAAGTAAGAATTCAAAATTCTGCTATGCTATCACCACCACTTCACTGTTGGTCAAAGAATATTGAAGATCTGGAGGAAGGACATATTCTTAGGATATCAGATAGCATTCACTAAAAGGAAAACTGACAACTTTACAACTAGAAAAGACAAAAGTCTTTTTCATGCTCTTCTTTGGCATCATGAGTTGGAAAGTCACATTTAGTTTTCCCTCCTAAGGCAAAATTATCTCTAATCTTTTCCTAGTCCCTGCCTCCTTTGTGCACTTATTCATTCAATTTTTGCATAATTATCAAACTATTAATTTATTAGAAGCTTTTGTAGGTTCCTGGAATCCACACTGGATAAGAGAACCAGTATTCTTGCTTCCATCAAGCTTACTTTTAATGGTATTTATTAGAAAATCACTTTGGTTCTACCACCCTTGTATACATTTTCAATGTGTCCACTTCTTCATCTCTTTTGTCCTCATCAGTGGCTCCTGTCTGTTCACTTTAAAGAGCCCCGAATTTGGTTCCACGAGTCTGTTTTGTCCCTACACTCCAACTTAAGTCTATTCTCAAAGAACCCAGAGAGATACCTTTCCTATTCAAGTGTTTTATTTCCTGTTGCACTAAAATTGCTGCCATTTCATGGTATTCAGAAGTTAAGAAAATGTTTAAACATGGAAAAAAAAATTACCTGGACTGAAGAGTAAGTGTATTAATTTTGGAAAAGAAAAAAAACTAAAAGGGCATGTCATTAGAAACAAGCTAACAAGACATAGAAGTACTAAAACATGAAAAATAAGTTTCAAGCTCTAAAAAAATTCTTTGCCCATAGTTTTCAATACTGAACACTTGTCTCATGGGCTTTCTGTTGACTATTGAGTACCTTCTTGTGTACAATATGAAATAAATGCATATACCACTCTTTGGTATTAGGCTAATACACATCAATTATTGTGCTTAACATTAGACAACACACCTCAGCTGTGACCTCTTTAAGGTTTCTAGAGCAGCCTGACCCTACTTTGCAGTTATTACATGGAAGATTTTAATTTTTCAAAATAATAATTTCCCTCATGATCTCCTTGTATACTCACTCAAACCCACGGTCAAAATTTGCTCACTGTACAGTCAATGCCCATGATAGCATGTACTAAAAGCCACTAATTTATTTAACTGACTGTAAGAAACAGGAACCTGATTTTACTATGCATTTGCAGAGGGTTTTTGTTTCGTTGTATTTTGTTTTTGCATTTTAGGGAAAGGTCTACAGGGTGTTCAGGGTCTCACTACTAGATCAGACTCATAATGATTCTTCTGTTTACAGTCTCCCAAGAGCTGGGATTACAAGCACCTGCCACCACACCCAGTCTGATTCTCCACTGTTTCAGTGCAACCTGGGGGCAGGGCTGGCACGGCAAGCTGGGGATTGAACTTTGGCCCCTGCAGGCACTTTAATCTGCTGAGCTATTTGACCAGCCTCATTGTGGAGGTTTTGTATGCACCATATTTAAAAAAACTTTTTTTAATTTCTAAGAATTTAAATTACTCAATGACAATGAAACTTTTGGCTCCTATGAAGCTGTTTATAAACAATTATATTATATTATATTATATTATATTATATTATACTTATTTATCTTTTTGAGACAGAATCCTGCTATGCATTTCAAGCTTCCCTTGAGCTCACTTTCTAACCCAGGCTGGTCTCAAACTCACAATAATCCTCGTGTCTTAGACTCCCCAGTGCTGGGATTATAGGCATGCATCACCATACCCAGCAAAATCAGTTATGAAGACCCTGCAAGATGGCTCAGTGGACTAAGCACCTTCTTAGGCAAGTGCAGGGACTTGGGTTCAATCCCGGCACCACAAGCTGCACTGACTTCACCCCTGGGCATGCTGAGCAGGCAACTGAGAGCAGGCTTAGTGGCACAGGCTTGTAATCCCAGCACTGGGGAGGCTGAATACAGTAGGATCACTATGAATCCCAGCTGTGTAGTGATACCCTGCACCAAATACATTTTAAAAGAATCTGTTATGAGTTAACTACTTAAAATGATGAGATTACTTATGTACTTATGCCTCCACGGGTCTGTTTTTTCTGTTGAACAATAACACTCTTTTTTCTTATTTTTAGTACTTTATATTAACGTGAATTTAAAATGTGGCTCCTTCAAATATAATACTGCAAAAGGATTTAAAAGAGCACAAATGAAAATCATAAAAAATTAAGCATAGTCTCTATGCTATTGGATATTTCCCTGCAGATAATGTATTTTCTTCTTGTATTCTGCAATTTTGTATTCAAAGAAAACTTTTAATTATTTGAATATCTCCATTTTTTATTTCTTTTGTTCTTTTAAATTGCTGCTTTTACTGTCTTCTTAACTTCCCTTTTTGAAGAATATTTAAAATTCTGGTTACCTTGCTTATAAACAAGAATAAGGAAGAAAGGCGTTTCAGATAGTGGTTTTCATTGTGAGGGTAATCCTACATCATTGCACACTGAGCTTAATATGAGAATTGTATCTGGAGTTGTTTGATTTGCAGAAATAACAAGCCTTAATGCTTCAGTTTCTGATGGTAATTAGTTTTCAACCCAGACAGTCTGGATAACTATATATTTACTACCTTGTAAAGAACTATCATAACAAGCCCTTAAGCATTATTTGAAAATTAATAAACTAAAGTAGGAGGAAACCCTTTACTTTCCCATAGCAACATGAACTGAGTTATATTGTTTTATTGCAAAATTTTACTTTTCAATTATAGGTTTACTAAATTAAGAAGCTTGAAAAGCATGAAAACCAATTATTAGTTTCTTGACACTGCAGATGACTAATGCAATGAGTCCAGCTTACTATAAGGACAAAAAGGGAAAGAAAGAAAG